CCCGGGGGGGGGGGGGGGGGGGGGGGGGGGTAACTCCTGGAATCACCAGCACAGTGTGTGTTTTACCAAGGACGATAGCCTCATGGCAGGATTTGTTTTTTTTTTAAAGATCTAAGTGCAGGTCTAATAAGGGTAATACCAGAGTTTGTCAGGTATAGCTCCCTAAGATGATTTTTTTGTTTCATATTCATTGGGTAAAGTTGTCTTCAGCCTTGAAGAAATAAGTGCACAACAATTTGAGCCTTTGCTTATTTCATGATGGCATCAGAGGCGTTTCTCTAATAGCAGAACTTGCTGCTCGGCACAGTTTGCATCCCACTGCCTGCTGATCAATAATTACACAGTGTTTTGAGAATTTCATTTTGTTTTTTTCTGAAATTCCGTGACCTAATTTCTCCATTAATTTGCTGTTAAAAGCCCTTCAAATATAAAGTCACATTCACAAAAAACAATCTTTGCCTCATTTAACAGTGGTTAGGGTCTTTAATTTTACATTGGTACTTGATATCCTTCATTAACAATCTCGCTCATTTAGTATTTTGGTGTTTGGCAGTTGGAGGGTAAAGAGGCTTCAGGGACACAGCAGTTAATTTTCTACCAGTTTGAATGAATTTGGTCCAGGGTAGTACAATCCTTTAGTACATTATGGTCAGTATGTACATTACATTAGTTCACAAACTAATATACAACACCCTATAACTAATATATAACACTGACACTCATCTGCACGCATTTTCCATGATACTGTATTGTTCAATATTAATTACACTTTGATTACATGTTTGTCACATATTTTAATAATAAATTTTATAATTTAATTGTAACAGCTGTTTATAATGTCTTCTTGGTTTATTCCCCAGAGACTTTTATATTTTTGTATTTACTTAAACTAAACATCAACGTATTTACAACACACAGACAGATATTACAACTTGCTGTTTGATATAAATATGAAATAAAAAATGCTCTGGCTTCAAAACAATACAAACAACAATATTTTCTGTTACAGCAGATGATTAGACCAGCACAGGTTTGCACATATTGGTACTATTCTCCCAGCACACACACACACACACACACACACACACACACACACACACACACACACACAACAATGGGCTGAGCAGTCCAGCCAGGAAACACTGTGTCAAAGTAATGGTCTCTAATTGTTGTTGTCATTTAGGATATCTGTAAACATTATTACATATGGCTGCAAATGTGAAATCACCATCTAATAAAATCAGAGCAAAGATGTGCACTAGCTCAAGTCCCTCTTTACATAAAGCAGATGATGCTGGGACGTTGTTTCTGTTGTGAAGCTGCACAAGATCAATGAAAACAAGCAGGAGCTGAAAATGTTTTATCTCAGATCTTCTACAACCCTCTATAACTCCCCCCATAGCTTCTAGGCCCTTTAATGTTATTGGTTTAAATGTTTGTTTTTTTTTTAAAATCATTTTTAAACTAAATTCTAAAAGAGGTAAACAGATTAGTTTGCACTAAAGTTGGACGTGCTGTGGAAAAGTGAGGGTCTAAAAATAGCTCAAAACCATCTAAGGCAATAAATGTGAGAAAACACTTGGAAGTCCTAAAACATATGCTGGTACAGTATGTTCCTGTAATGTGGCTCGGTTGTAAATTTCTCAGATATTCTTTAGAAAAATATCTCCATTATTTAAAAGCTCAGAGATAAAGGCAAAGCAAAGGGGCTATGGAAAATATCATGAGCCACAGGGTTGTGTTTTTAAGAGTTAAGTAAGCAGTTGCTAGACTCATAATGGAAAAAATGTCATAGTTAAATATGAGCAGAAACACATAGCTCATCCCTGCTGCGGCTGATGACAACAGGTATTTAATACAACAGACGCGTCAGTGTTGCATGAATGACAGTTGATCTAATTTTGGATCATGGTGTTGATGAAGATGAAAATATAGAAACTGAAGAAGAGAAGTGAAAGAAGGAAATTCTCTAAGAAATAGGTCATAAATAGAAAAATCAACAGATGATGAAGAGGAACCTGCTCACAGTGACTTAACATTCTGGTCAACACCATCACATACTGGATCTCACGTCCATGAAAACACACCCAAATACACACACAGCTACAGCCACAGCTACAGGAGGGAAAAACAAAGAACCCCGGCCAATTATTTTACAATTAAAGTGGAGATTTATCAAGTTGAAAGGGGCTGTTCATGTTGCAGCGTTGTTAAACTTACAACAATTTGTTAAAAAGATGTAGCCTAAACTATAAACCTTACAACAATGTTTTTATTCGAATTATGTCTTAACTACGGCATACACAGGTTTCCCTAGTGCTGGTGCTATTTAATTAAAAGATAGTGGTTAAACTTCAACTAAATACGACCTATGACCTTTTGAACAATAAATTCCATGTATATGTACAAGGCTTTTTATATTCAGTAGGAGTTGTTGATTTAATGATTTAATGCAAAGTTGGTATAAAATCAGTGAACAGAGACACAAAGATTCAAAGACATTTCAGACACGACGTGAAGGCCAGACGTTGTCTGATGACATGATTCACTGATTTGCATATGAAAAGATTTACTAAAGCCCCCGGCTCTTCCCTACAGTAGATGCTGTGTACGGGACACAGCGATCATCAGAAATCTTTAGATTAGAGAAGCATGTAGTGCAAACATGAATCAGCTGCTCCGATGTGTTTCCAGATTCTTTGGTAGTAAACACGTCTTTATGTGTTTTACCACTGATTAGAGAAAGTTCCCACAGTTGTTGCCGTTCACGTTTGACAATTAAAGTTGCAACAAAGTCAACATGTTGGGAATACTTGATGTGAGAAATCAGCAAAGAGCAGGGAGCAAACCCTGTAAGGGTGAAGTATTGTTGAAAATAAAAATGAAGGTTTGTGATCATTTATCTTTGCTCTGCTTGATCTTAAGGAATAGGCTGGGAGCAGACATTATTATCATTATTTTTATTATTATTATTTGTTAATGATCTAGATTCAAAAGGCTTGATATCTTGCTTGAACTCTGAATGGAGTCGTTGTGTATTTGAATGTGTCACTGTGAAGGGAATATCGGGACACCTTCGTTTTCTTTGTGATTTAAACTTCATGATTCATTTTCTTCTCGTTTATTACTTTTGACATCACATCCGTATCGCACATCAGTAGACAGAAATAACGACACAGTTTTTATTTCATATATCATCCTTGTGGTTTATTCAGTAGGTTTTTGGCAGCGCATTCGTTTCTATTTGTATTTGTTTGCCTTAAGTTGTTCTAATTGCTATTTCTTTAAGCTACAGTAAACACATCTTTTCAGGCCTGTGTGTCACTTTTGTCTCTGTTCAGTCACTTCGCTCTGTTCAGTTACAGTCACATTCTACTAAGTTAATGTTACCAGAGTCTGGTTCTGTTTACATGACCTCTTTTATGGGTCAAGAACTTTGTCGCATATTTTGTAAATCGTTGTCTTCTTCATTTTGAATAAATAAACACTTTCTATTTTTGAAAACCTACCTTTGACTCCTGATGCCTGCCGGCTCTGTCCCTTTCTAACACATTGGCCACTTTATGTATGGAAAGGGAGCGAGAGTGGGTGGATTTTTTTTTCCTCAATAGATTACACTTTGAAGCCCGGCTGTCATTCAGTGACACAAGTAATTTGTATGGCTCTATACTCTGCAAACAAATTATTTGACACACGATGACAGTTGCATTTTGAGGTTTGTAATACGGTGTGCTTCTAATATAAATTGTTGAAAAACAAATCATCAGAGCATGAAATAAATATGACATGTTTTTGCTATTACACCTGCTGTCGTCTTGGAGCTTTGTAGACTGGTCCCCCAGTGGGGATAGATTTGACTGACAGCAGACACTGGCGGCAATGATCCACCACACAAGAACCCATGGCAAAACATGCTGCTCCCAGCACATTCACGCTAAAGAAAGCTTTAAAGCAGCACCTACAAAAGACCTGGATCCAGAGCACTGATTGACATTCCTCCTCTTTGACACTTTGACATGGAAATGAAGTTTTTAAGTCGAGCCCCCCAGTCTCTGCTTTGTTCTTTATCTCTCTTTGACTTGGAGATGCATCATACCAGGTCTGTTTGCCCAGGCGGCTTAATAAAACCCACCATACACAGGTAAAACTAATAAAAGAACATTTGTATACAAGACACCAGTTTGGGGCAGACTTGGAGTACATGATCTTTTTTTAGAGATATGCAATTCACACAACACACATCAATGTCATTTCATACATGGAATATCAATGTAGGGAATCATTGTTTTGTTTTAATTTTTCCTGCTGACCTGGGAATGGGATGAAGGTATTACATTTTTATTGATATACACAAAATATAGAAGTTGTGTAAGATGTTATCACCCCTCGAACTGTTTATATTTTGGCATTTGGTGTAGGTGCATATGTCCATGTTAAGAATATAAAGTTTTGAGCTTTAAAGATGTATTTTAAAGTACATCTCATCCTATAAAGGAAAAAAAAAAATTCCAAGATCATCTTGGTGCCTCTTGAGATGGACAGAAAGTCTGGTTGTGATGCTGGGTGCCACCTCTCCACTGGCCTTTCAGGAATCTACGTGCATGTCATTTCAACAAGAAAACTTCATATCCCAGCCGCTCTCCCATCAATCATCATGCCATGTTGGGCAGACACAGACAGAACCACCAAGAAAAAGCTCTCTGGTGCAAATCTTCAATAAAGAGCAACTGTCACACTGAGTCTCCGCAGCAGGCTCCATTACATTAAAGAGCTCCACACAGCTTACCTCTGCCATCAAATTGAGGAAAAACATTCCATTCCTATTTTTTAATGTTTTGTCTTTTTTTGTGCTTTTTTTTTTTTTTTTTTTTTTCTTTATTTTTTAAAAGCCAGAAATAAGAAGGTGATAAAAGCTATAAAAATACAAAGTGTAGAGCTTCAGACAGTTTGGAAAGAGGTATACAAGAAAGTGAAAGCTTGTGCGGCGCGCTGTGTGAAACCACAGAAAACTTCTGCTGGTTTACTGCGATCAGCACACATTACATTGCACCATCTGCTGCCTAATGCATTGTTTCTGTCAGTGCTTTCTTTTTTTTCTCAGTCCGGGCGAAGCGAGTTATGTGGCCTTTCTGAGTTTGCATTCCTGTGCATTCTTGTTTCCTCCTCGACTCATGTGACTAATCTAATCGCTGCCCTACAAAAAAAAAAAATAAAGCGCTCAGTTGGAGCCGCCTGGGGATACGATGGATGGTTACATGGCTGACAGGAACGAATGGGAAGCCCAGCAAGATCGACTCATCACATGCAAACGGCACTGAGGTCTGCGTAGAATTTCTAACCGTGAGATAAACTAACACCTGTAAATCTCTTGAAATGGAAGTGATGCACATGGTCTTGATCAATCTGATTCTCCGGCATAACAAACTTTAACGGTAAGTCAGTTCACTAATGAGTCAATTACTCGATTAACAGATAATGAATCGACAAAATTTGATAATAAATTAGCTGTAAGTAATTCTGTTTAATGAAAAATGTAAACATTTGCTGGTTCTAGCCTCTAAAATGTGAGGATTTGATGCTGTTTTATTTAATTGTAAATTGAATATATTTTTGGCTGTTAGTTTGGCTGACAAAACAAACTTGCGCAAGCCCTAAACTTGACGTTCTCATTCTTGATCATCACCTTCAGATCAATTAGATCAACCAGCTGAGTACATCATTACTTTAGAGGCACTTACAGTGAGAATTGAATGGCGTGCAGAACTTGCCTTTGATGTACACTCTATAATTAGAACCAATAAGAGGCACTCCTATATGTCTTTGGGCTTGGTCAGGTAGTGAAATGTGGACGGCTCCGGCATAGTCCAGCAATATCTGGACGGCACCCAACAACAGCAGCAACACTGGCAGTGAGCCAGTCGAATCATGGCACCACTAAACCCCGGCCAGTGGAACAATGCATGAGTATGAGCACAAAAGGAATGCAGCAGCTGAATGACTTGACAGTAATGATGTCTCCAATAGGGTACAAGTGGTAACAGAGGGTACAATGCTCTGTGAAAACCCACACCACATGCTTACCTTGGACCTCCTTGTCATTTCGGAACCACCGGATGTTGGCGGCTGGTTTGCTGCCTGATGTGGTGCACGTCAGGGTGATTACATCCCCCTCTGTGGCAGGCTTGGTGAATCCTGTGATCTCCGGCCGTCCTGGGACTCCTGTTGTGCGTGAAATTACAATTATAAACAAAACACTGAATAAATAATGTATATGAGGAGTTGAGGAATAACCTAGTGAGCTACAGATCCTGTATTCCTCTGACAATAAATAATGATGTGCTCATTGAGAGAATTCACTTTAAGATATTTGTGCCTTCTTCTCTCAGTGGCAAGATCAAATTGAACATTGGCTGTTTATCTTTTCCAGTTTGTTTTTCTCAGGCAGGACAAAAAGGAATGACAAACAAAAATCACAACAATGAAAAATAACCAACAAAAAACAAATTAATAGGAATTCTATAAAGACAATGATGGCTCACAATAAATGGGAAAATGAATATAAAAGTCTGTGGTTTATTAAATGAAGTTAAAATCAAATTACCCAAAATCTTTCCTCCAGGATTACTGTGGCTACTTCCTGTCTTGCTGTCTGGCTGTGAGATTCTTGACTAAGGTCATCTTACAGAAATGCAAGTCTTAATAAATGTACTGTAAGTGCTGACAGAGTGTGGGTGTTGACTTTTGACTTTTGACTTGTGAGTTTGTTGTGGCTGTCCTGCTTGGCAGAAAATTAAATATAGTAACACTACTGGCTTGCAAGCTCGACTGTCAACCTTTATTCTAGCAGAAAAGAGTAAAACATAATGCAGAGATGGTATTTTCCTACAAACTAACAAGTGCCCAGTGAAGAAAAACAACAGCCTATAATTCAAAAATGTGCAGGTATTCATGCTGTCAGAATGTGAGGAATTAGCCACAAGTAATTGGCCTGTGGAGACTGGGCCAAAACAGATGTGCTCACCCAGAACAGTGAGGAAGGCCTTGGTGGTCTTGACAGGCATGGTGAAGAGCGAGCAGGTGTACTGGCCCTCATCTGACAGGCTGACGTCACTAATTCTGATGGTGAGCTCCTGCCATGAGGCTCGCACCAGCTCGATTCTGTGGTCTCTCAGAGCTGCATGAGGAAGGAGGACACAGAGAGCACAGAAAATAAAGACATTCATTAATGGGCAAATTCAGCGACGGCAGTTAACCTGTGGCAGTACCATGTGTAATTCAGATGACCTTTAGCAAAACAACGCTAAATACACTGTGCTTTCAGTTATTCCAAATAGTTGTCGAATGCAGCAAACACACTCAGTGGCCAGTGGTTTGAAACATTTTCTTGACATTTGCATTCTGGGCTGACAGTCTTATTCACAGACACTGAGAATACATAAGGTATCAGCAGGATGCACTGGAGCGGAGCAGCAGAAAAAACTTGCAGGCCTAGATTACAATATTTATTTTGGTAATCACTTACATTCCAGGTATTGATTTACATTCACTTTAACAGTCTCAGCAACTGGCTCTGCCTGTGGCATTTCTCACTTTGAAAGCCTTACATTGGCCACATAGAGAACCTCTTAGCCTACAGTTAGAGTCAAAAAGACATTATTTTACGAACAAAGGAGGAGCAATAATTCAATGTACTGTTTATTAATTGTCAGTGGTATCGTATCTGGAAAATCATAATATTGTTTTACAAATTTCTGTTGTCGCAGTTAATGATTTTAAGCAAACTGTAATGTAAAGCTAAGAAATGTAATGTAATGCATAAGCATGGAACACATTTTACTACACTGAACCTCAATTTGATTTACTATTCTATTCTTTCATATATCTCCTGTATCTTGATGTGCATTAATATTGTTAAACCTTCTAGTTAATATTGTGATATTGATTTCAACCAAATCACCCAGCCCTAGTACAGAGCTATAAAAAAAAAACCCAAAAAATAAAAAATAAAATAAAAATACTGATAACAAATAGCTTTTGGACAGTACAAGATTCATGATACAATAACATCACAATGAGAATTCTTAAAACACAGCTTGAAATAAAACCTTGTTTTCTTAAGATACTGTGCACCTTCACCGCTGCTCATTCTGATGTGAATAAACCCTCATAAACCAGGGAAAACCATGGAGCTAGGTTGAAAAAGGTCATCTTGCACCTGTCATCTCTTATACAATTTCAAATTCTGAATCACCTGTTCCTACAAGCGACCAACCACAGAGGGCAGGAATGAAAGTGCTCTTCATTGAATAAATTACACATTCTTAATCCTTAGTCCCTTTAGGCCTGGCCAGCTCTCTCCATGGACACTCTTTCATCTGAGGTAATTTGAACTCTATTGGATTGTACAACCAAGGCAAATCTGGCAAAATGCTACAGCGAAGGTGTGAATTAGGATTTTAATTATCGTGGCCAATGTAAAGTGGCGTCCTATCAGATAAAGAAGACATCTCTATGAAAAATCATTAATCACCGGCTCCACTCCCTGTTGATTTTAGCGATAAACACACACAGCAGACATGCGACACACAATTGAATTAGATTGGCTGAAATGGTTGTTAGATTTACACAGACATAGGTCATTATCAACAACGCTGTTCTTCAGCTTCAATTACACCATATCGTTTGATGATCATTATCGTATAATCACACACATGCTAAAAAGGAAAAAAAAAAAAAAACAAAAAAGATTGGCTATAAAGATATTGATGGCCCTAAGAAGTTTCTTATTAGAGACTCTTTGTTATCCAAGAATAAAGTGTAGCGTAAATAAAAACAATCTTCAAGCCAGAATTAAAATTTAATAACAAGCTGTGCCATCAGAGAACCAGCTTATTATGTGCTATGGGGCTTAATACAAACATTTGATAGTCTGACTGTAGCAAACCACATCCTGAAACAAAGCTGCCTGATGTTCTTTGTAGTTAAGCATCCTCACTACAGAGCTTGAAAATGCCCAGAGGCTCAGGCAGAAAGCAGCGAACGCTTTGGTAGATGGATGCATTGGAGAGGTGATGGGGTCTAAGCAAACATTGTACAGGAACTCAAAAGATATGAAAGTACAGGCTGAGAGGATCAAAGCTTTGGACAAGATGACATACTGTACTTCCCCTGGCCCATATCCCTCTATCTCTGCAACGCACAGAGGAAAGACGTGGAGAAACAGACCGACTTCACTTCTTCTTCTTAACCCCCTGTTCCTCGAAGCACAAACACCTCAGAGATACTGATAAATGGTATGACTGTTTCCTAAAAGGGATCTGTTGAGGCAAAACTGACATCCTTTGGTTAAAGTGGTATTCCACTTGAAATCTGTTGGTATAAAAAGTGAAAGAGAAAAAGGTTTGCTCCAGCAGCTGTGATCAGCTTGAGCTTATGTCTGTTATAATAAATTTAATGTTGACCAGATGAGTTTTTGACAGAAAAAAAAAGTCATTAAAATGACCATGAAAACTTCCCAAACTACTACAAAATAATGCACTGACAAAATATGGCTGCCGCTCCAATGTAGCATGTTCAGTCATATTTCAACAAAATTATGACACACTGAACACATGGATGGATGGTAGACAAGGAAATTATACTGCAGGAGTGGTTTTGGAAAGTTCTTTAGACTTGGTCCTTCAGGGAAACTTATTATCATTGGAATCCAGTGAAACTAACAATAAAGCCGAAGACAGCTGCTGTTCCACTGAAGTGACCAAGTTTAAAAAGCCTTTTAACACTGTCTGATACTCAATAGATGTGGAGTATGAGTTTAAATACCAAACAGTGGCCAGATACAGTACAGACCACTAAAAATTTCAAGTGACATTTAAAGTACCCAATAGGCTACACCTCATTTCATCTACTGAACAATATCACATTAACATCATAACAGAATTAAATCCAAATGTCAGTAGCTGAAATACTGATTCAGATAGTTTGAAGTAGACGCTGAGAAACAACTTACAGTTGAACAAAAGATGGACCTGAATGATGCATTTTTGTTAGATAGCCACTGGCACTAGAAAGCATGTGAGTCAATGACATATTGATAGAATGAGATGTACAAAGGTTTGAATAACCCAAAGACAAGTGTTATCTATTACTCAAACAGCATATGGCCAGGAAACCATACTACTAGAATCCAATTCAGGCTAGAGGCCCAGATTGTGAGCAGATCCGTCACAATCAGACCCAAATGCCAGTGGCTGACAAAGCTTTTTTCCAGGTGCTTTAGGAAATCAATGTGATGAAAAGGTTCATTTCCCCCAAACCCTAGATAGGTCCTGTGCTGTTCATTCTGCTTAGGAGGAAGCATAAATCTGCACCCTGACCTTGTGTATGCTACAGCCTTGCAGCATGGCAGCTTAATGCGCAGTACATCTCCTGTGATGGAGGCCTTACCAAGGCTGTCTCAAATCAGTAAAACTGACACCCCGGTTCCCCCTCAGGGCAAGGGATACTGTTGCCATGGCCCTTTGATGCAAAGTAATGTTTGTCTTGTTTCCCTGACAGTCCTTTGCTCCACCGACTATGTCAGTAGAGGACCAATCTGAGGTCTCCTGAGAAAACTGTGGTTTGTCACTTTCAGTTTGAACAACCTCGGCCAATTTTGCTCAAAGTTGCTTGAATGTACTATATAAGAACCTGTTTCAGCATGTGAAACAGTTGTTAAAAGGCCTCACTACAATATGGTGCACTGTTTTGATGTGTAAGAGATGAGCTGCCAGTCTGGTTGGTAGCTACATTAGCTCTGTCCTCCGATAAAACTGGAAGCAGAGGAACTGGAAGTGCACTTATCACATGGCATTCACTTCTGCACTCCACTGAGCAGCAGACAGATGTTAACCAATGTTTCGCATCCAAAACGATGAAGTATCTCCTGACAATCCAGATAGAGAAGGACATTTTACATCTATCCATTAGTCTTGGAAACAAGCCGATGGCTCTCGGGTTCAGCCAAAATGTGTTACATCCGCAACACTGAATGTCCCCATTTGGCCATTTTTGCATGGCCTGTAACCACTTTGAGCCAGTCCTGGAATGTGAAAGCACTAGCTGTCCTTCAGCAAGAACACAGGGCCCTGGCGCACCCCCACGCTCTCCAGCCAGGGGCTCCACTCTTTGCAATTAGAGTGTGTTTGCTGCTGGCTGTGCTCGCTCAGTGACTGTGTGGGCGATTCTGGACGTGTTCCAGGGCTGGTGGTGCAGGCAGGGGGCTCTTTCCCACCACACATGTGGCTGCAATTAAGAGAAGGAAAGGGCCTTGTTCCAGAGGGCCATTGTTACTGCCCGCACTCTAAGAGATCCCACAGAGCAGATGCTCCTCAAATTGGACTCATTTTCAGCGCTTGAAGGAGGGAAGGAAAGAAGAAGGAATTCTCCCAGCAGCTATGCTATGTCCTCTCTTCAAGTGGTGAATAATGTGACTGAATATATTTTTGTCCATCCATTTTCCAGCCCACTGACATAAGCTTGATTGTACACTGTGGGATTTTTTTTCTGCCTTTGAGTCCCTTTCTTTCATTTAAATTCTCTAAATTAAATTTTTATTAAAACAAGTGCCAGTGGGGTTACATAATTCTGTTGGTTTACAATGCGGTTTTACCCATTCCAGGGGTTGTAAATATATATTACAGTACCACCACATAACAACGACAAAAAGAAGCTAGACATTTTTCAGGTGGGTGTGAAATTTCTACAGGAATTTAAATACAACATATGCTTCATTATTCTAAATAGCTAATATACATTATACATGATACATGAGAGTGCAGTGTGGCACAGAGCTCAGTATAGCACAAGAGCAGCTCTTCACATTAACAGTAATATCTAAGTGTATAGCGCCATAATGGTGGACTCACATTTTAGTGAAGCTGGAGGTAACCCAGTACACTTAAAACTCCATTAGTCCCTGGAGAAAGACATTACCTGTGGCCATGAGACCGTTTCTATATATATATATATATATACATATATATATATATTTTTTTTACCTATATAAACAGTCACTGAAAAGTAAACAAAACACTTGTGGCCTGTGAAATTTTCCTCAGCATTACGTCAGTGCGAGATTTCTCAAGATATTTGAAGACAATGTGGGAAAGCATCACCTGTCACATCCATTAATGAAATAAAGTTCATGTTAAGTTTCACTCCTCCAGTTTCATATTTTTCTTTTCCAGTCTCAAATATTTGTTTACATATATATATATGGATTTTTTTCTTTTCTCATCTTGCGCTCTAACTGATATGTAATAATGATTATAATAATAACAATAATAATAATAATAATAATTATTATTATTTGTGTTAATTTCAAACTGAGGACAGATTTACTCTGGGACCTGAGCTGAGGTAAATGTTCACTATACTCGCTTTCAACGGACCAACCATCAAATGTTGTGTGTTTACTGGAATGGACGTTTAACTGTGCTTTCATTGGTGCTCACTCTGGTAATTGCATCCTTGGTAATTATCCTTCATTCTCTCAAGCTAATGAATGTTTTAATGCTCACATTAGAGCATTCATTTAGCACATAACAGCATTTTGATTACTACAAGCCAATTAAGATCAATTTTGCTTTGTGACCTTTATGATCCAGGCTGAATGCCCCAATTAAATGTCATGAATGATGAACCACAAACTTCTGAGAGATGAAATTGAGATGAGGAGAATTCAACACAGCATATACGTATATGCTATATACAGTACATACATGGGCTACAAGAACATACCGTGGATCAAATGAGCAATTTGTTATCCGCCTTTGACATGCAAACTGCAGTAGTGCCCCATTAATTGCATTATTCATATTCACCGTATCTGACAAAAGATTCTGCTTCCATCCTGCATGTGTCAGAAATGTCATTACCATTCTCTGCAGCATCCCTACTTAGGTTTTATCCTTTTCCCACAGAAGCCAAAAGTGAAGTAAATCATAATGAAGACAGCAAAGGACAGCTCTGTTCTCGTTTGTCCTGCTTGGTAGTAATAATTCATAACCCCGGCAACATATAAAAGGGATAATTCTACAAAAGACATATGGTCCAAATCGATTTCTTCATCGTGGAACCCCACCACAGAGCCGCTCCCTTCAACAGTCCCCACTAATTGGCCTAATGTATGAATGATGTGTTGGCCTGGCTATTAAGCCGATCTGTCTCTGTTGGCTCAGGTCTGTGGCGGTAGTGCGTTGGAATCTGCATGTTGTCAAAGTGTAGTCTGAAGCCTCTGAGGTGGCAACAATCAACCAAGACTCAGATATACATAATGGATGAGGAGGAGCATGCCAGGGAGCCAGCTGGCATGATATAAGAGGAGGGCTGTGTTCAGCTTTAGACAAATGTGCAGAGACAGTCGAACCCATATGGATCGGCTTTGGGAATCCGGCAAGGTTAACACTCTTTTGGAGCTCCACGAGGTTTGACTGAGCCTGTTACGGGAGAGGATGAGATAGAGGCCCTTTTCATCGTTTACACTCTCACCAATGATACATTAAGCTACTGAGCTGTCACCTGCCCACTCTTTCCTTCCTACCGGCAACCACATCGCTTATCCTCCTTCCACGTCTGTGACGAGAAGTGACATTGCTGGGTAGACAGATTGTAGGTCATCAACTTGTTGGATGCGCTGTTCGGATTATGTTCGACCTGCCTACCTGAGGACCCCCAGTGGGTTTATAAACTAATAACGCTCAGTTGTGATCCATATACTGTTGCATATTACAATCAAATTAACAGAAGGTTAATTGGAGTAGTCTTACCGTTAATGGAAACTGTCCTCACCAGAAACATGATGACATGGGTCATTTGTTCAAATGCTTCAAATGACCTCTGCTTATGGTTTTTGTGGTGAGGCAAAGAAAAGGCAGAAGTATTGTGACATTGTTATTGGGTGGGTCTGTTTCTTTTAACCATGACAATATGTTTAAGTGCATTTTGAAACTTAACCAAACCTTTACCACAGAGGTGGTGGATCAGAAAATGATGTTTTAGAAGGCAAAGACAAACAACGTATTTTGTCATTTAATTACTATTTTGTCTGTATTTCCTTTACTGGCACTCATGTACGAATAATGTTTGATGCAAAAGATGCACTTTACACATGCTTGCTTGCTGGACGAGCTTAATGATATTCAGTGTCTTTGAAATTCTGGAAAGACACAGAAATCCCTTTTCTCCTTGGATGTAATAGCTACTCTTTGGGGCTTTTTTCATATTCTCATTTGCCAGACCTGAATTAAAATGGAACAAATTATAGTTGGGGCAAAGATCAGATTTTGTCTTACTTTACCCAGCAGCTGTCAAACTCAATTGATATAATACGGAACTTCAGCTTTTTTTTTTTTCCCTTTTCTTAAAGATGTTTCTCTTTACTCCACTGTAGCTGTTCAAAAGGATTTAAAAGGTCATTTTAATACTCTTTTTTTCTCCCTCACTATTTTATATCAAACTCAAAACACATCCAGACAAATGCCCTTATCTTTAATGCCAAGCTTGAGGAAAAGAGCGAGAGTAGATTTCAAAAAATGCCTCACAGAGCGTTTTGTCTAATTTAAGACAGACCAGCAGATGTATTTTTATCATCATTACTTGTATGTGTTGAGCATCCAGAATCACATATAAAAGCTGTAAAAGCTGAATTTCCTTGGGCTTACACATGCCCAATGACAAACTACCTTTGTGCTGAGAGAGTGGGGGAAACTTGCATGTGCATCAAAGGCTAACATATGGCCATGCTGTCATGGTCACCCAAGGGGAATATAGTGAGCAGAGAGGTGGACAAAAGACAACGGACAGATACAACAAGCACAGGAAAAATTCCAGATTTATATAAACAGCAGGTTAAAAAAAAAAAGATAACAAAAAACCTTTACACTGAGAGCAAGAAAATGCAACATAGCTGCATTAATCGAATCTACTCAGTGACAGCAGTCTCTGACCAGCTGTTCATCAAAGGGGGAGAACAGCCTGCCTCAAGCTCAGCCAGTCTGCAGTTAGTTGTTGGACTGAAAGGTAGCATAAGGTTGAATCTAACATTTTTCACTGGCTCCTACAAGACGGCACAACAAACTGGAGAAGAAGGACAGTTGCAGCCCTCTGCCAAGCAATTAACTGGTGATTTGGCACAGCAGAGATTTCTTCCCAGGTGTCCCACCCTCTTCTTCGCATGAAGCTCATGTTGCTCCACGCCTCCCGTTTCTCCTGATGGCCTCACAGGCATCGTATTAGTTGTGCCAATAAAGCTTTTCATTTGGCTGTTTAAAAGGAGATGGAGAGGAAGTGTTCCCACACTTAGACCTGGCAACCTCTGCTGAGTGGACTACATTCATTTTGTCATCCGTATTGCTCAGGAAAAGGATTCTGTCATGCAATATAAATGGCTGCCTAAGAAGGGCAAAGTGGCTCGTGCATATTGTGCTCTCCAAGCTCCCCTTACATGCTTATACCAGCAGCACTTTAGATTTACAGGTGGATACAGGTTATTGCTTTTTATTAACATGAGATGAGAAATGTGAAGAAAACAGAGTTAACTGGCTTCATTTTAACCAAATGAAACAATCAAAAGATAAGAGTTAAATGATTTATCATGTGTTACATCTTTTCAGAGTACAGAGAAGTGAAGGTGAATTTTTCTTCTCATAGAGTCTGATGATTTTCAAAATTGGGTGTGCAAAATAAAATATTAAAACGCTACATCTATTGTACACCAGAGAATACAGAAAAATAACTATATAAAAAGATTGGTTTTGGCTCAATGACTTTTGCTTGAATTTTTAATCCTTGGGGCACATTCACACCATTTACACAAGAATATCTATTTAAGATTCAGTTAACTTTCGTTTAATTGTATTTGGAAGTAATTTCATCTAATAAAACACCTTAGACCTCATTACTAAATCCAATCACTTGCCAGGGAGAAAGTATTTCTTCAAACCAGACTGTGACTCTCATTCTGCTCGTTCACTCTGGCGTCTCTCTCTCCCATCAATTGTTATTCAAAGGGAAAGTTCATCTTCAATCACCGAACCAATGATATTGTATTAGCAGCTACAGCATAAATGAAATGGGTAATATGCTGTGAGAAACACTGAAAGATGAACACCCCCAACCCTTACAAGACCAGTCCACTGTTATACTCCCTTTCACCCCAATTCCAATTTATCAACTCCAGACTTTTGTCACCTTTAAATTGGATTTGGCTGGTGAGAGCACATTATAATTCATTCTGGCTCGGGTCTTGTTTCACGAGGTTGCAACAGTTCGCTTCCTTTTCAAAGTGACATCCAAACAGCTATACAAATGTAGGGCAGCTAAAATGCTAATTAAGCCCAATCATCTCACAATCCACAGGCGTTACTGTGTTGTAAACAACACTGTCAGTGTTGCATGATTACAGAAGTTCAATTCAAAAACAGTCTATTTCTGTTTAGTTTGTGCCCTGGGACATCAATGGAGACATAAATTCATTAAAAGTCTGCTTCGACATTACGGCTAATGCGTTTCCCTCATATCCTGTCTTTTTTCCTGCATTTGGTAAAATTGTGTGCTCGCAGGCAGGCAGGCGGGGACAATTTTGTAGATTCCAAATTTGAAAAATTAATGAAGACGACTCCTGTGGTAATATAATCTGGCTCAGACATCTTTATCATATCTCATCATTTTATCATTACGGCCATTATCCCCGGGTATATTACTCACCTTTCTTGTCTCCAAAGAACAGGGTCTGTTGTGCAGGGTTTGACCACTGGAGGGAAGTGTTATCATTGTAATCCACACGACAGGTCATGTTGGCTGTGCCCCCCTCCACCACCGTCACATTCTGAGTAATGGGGAACTGACCTTGGCTACCTGTGGGGATTATGAGACAGAGTTTAAGGTCATGGCTGTGACATGAATAGAGTGCTGTTTTTGACTGGTTGGTACTGCCTTTTCATTGAATGTACCATTCAGACCTGACACCTTTCAAAGTTAATGTTCTCTCATCAATTACATGAAATGTCTTCATTACATCACAGTAAACCAAAGATGGCTTAATGGGAGTCCGGTCGACATGGACTCCAGCCTTCGACAGCTGCAGGAGCCAGAAAACACTGGGTCTTTTTTTTTTTTTTTTTTTTTACGGTGGAAACAATGGTAGGTTTTACCCTCCCAGAGCGCCTTCCTCACTGCCTTATTGCAGGGCCCTAATTGGTAGCATGGCCTAATTAGAGGTAGTCATGTTCTGCTGTAGAGTCTAGAGCTGCAGCTGGGTGGTAAATTGACACATAATCCTAGACACTGTGGGCCTTCGATCCGAGCGACTGCCTTGCCCTGAAACAGCCGCTCGTCACAGTGTGCAGAAGACATCCAAATGAGGCCTAATCACCCAGCCTTGCTGGATTTTACCTTCTTATTCCACATTTGTACTTGTCGTCTCAGCAAAGTCCCCTAATTACATTGCAGAAGCATTTCTATCCTGCCCGTGTTTTATTGAACTTTGCCAAGCTACAGAAACAGATGTCTAAAACCAATACTCTTTCGCAGGGGATTATGAGAAGACAATGTACAGGCTAATATAAGCCTGACCAGACTGGCCCCTTTAAGGATGACAGCAGTAAACAACAACTGCGTTAGAGCTCTTGAGTTCACGGGTGAAGCTGAATGTGCTGTGTTAGCCTGTGCGCGTTTCATTGTACAGAAGCTAATCTTTGTGCATGTTTTCTCTTGATTTCACAGGTCTGCTTTGGTTTCTACATGTAATGCGCCTGAATATGAAGGTGACATTGTCTCTGCCTCTCTCAGGTACAGTTCACCACAGGGACATTTCAGCTAAGGGAGCAGCTGTCTGCCTCATTAGTCCACCTCACATGGGGGGAGCAGAGGAGGCTGGGACTGCCAAAGGTCTGTGGACCTTCCTTGACCTCGATTGTCCTGATGGAGGCCACTGTCAACTGGAGGTGACGGTGAGGCTGACTAAAAATAGTAAATGGGAAAATGATTTAAACAGCACACATTATTTATCTGCTCACTGCACCCAATCACACAATATCACATCAGCAAATACGTCACCATTTCATTATGCCATCATAACAATAATTCAGATGCAGTTGGCTGGGTGTCAGGTAGTCCAGCAAAAGCAGCTATGCATGTCATTATATTAAAAAATGGAAATGGATGTGGATGCATTGTGTGTAGGGTACCATGTGGGGGTGTTTTTGTCAGTTCCAGCAAGTTTCAACTTTTTTGTCACATCATCTACCCCACCATCTCTCCAGTATCTTTTTTTCTGTCTGTCTCCAGTGCTATTCACTATTCACAGAAATGCTATGGGAAAAAAAGTCAAATCCAAACAGTAATGAATATAACACTCAATCCCTCAGGTTGGGGGGTGTAGGATTGCTTTGGCAAAAACCTGTTGCTGACATTTCTTTTAATTATACCTGCGAGGCCAATAAAGGCTGTGCACATAATCAGAAGTACAGTCACGTCGTGGGCGTTGTTTTCAAAGAAGTGTGAGTGCAGGTTTGGGTGTACTGCAGCTAACTGGGCTTCACCTAATACATTCATGAAATTCCACTGTCTTGACATTCTGTAGCAGTCTAGAGTGTGGCAAATGCTGTCCTTTCTGTGGAAACATAATCCCCAGTGCCAACTACAGGGTGTATTTCTTTTTTTTTTTTTTTTCTCTTTTTTTTTTTGAGATGGTGATTGGAGGACAGCTGGCTTTACTTCAACAGTACAATGCCAAACAATATTCTAGAAAGTCACTGAACCACAAACTGCTCCAAGGACGCGCCACTGTGCTGTCTGGCCCTGTGCACTGTCCTCCCTTTAAAGAAGCATATGTTCAGGTATGTGTGACAAGGAGGGATATTCCACAGTATATTTAATTAGTACAAAAATGTTTGGAAGCAATTTAAATCTCAATAATAAGAGGGTTAAATATTTTGTAACAACCAGACAATATCTTGCCAAAAACAAAGTTAATATTGGTACAACTTTGGTTAAGCGTCTGTAATGGGATTATGTTGGTCAAAAACATGAGGGCAATAATCAGAGTAATAATATGACAATAATGGGTTAAAGACCATGCACACACATTGTGTTTGAACCTCTTCTAAAAACTGTGTGAGCATGCTGAGATTGTTTGATAGACATCTGTCTTCACCTATAGGCATTTATCACATTTTGTCACAGTAGAAAGAACACAGGTATAAATAACAAAATCAATGAGGGCTGAATTACACCGAGCTGCTTCATTTTCTGGGTTCTGCTATTGTGCATGCTGGCTCACTGTCACACTGTCATGGTTTCACTGGGACACTAGAACACAACGGCGCCGTTTTTAATGTTATTAGTATCACCTGTGCTTTTCCTGCCATGACAAGTCAAAACTGCTGCTTCTGTGTAAAAGGCCCATTAGTTTCGTCGTCCCTGTTAAGGTTAAAGGAGTTGCACCTTTTTCATTCTTTTTCTCATTTTTTAACTGAGGGAAACAAGCCAAAACATGGCATAACGGGTGATCTGACAGAGCTAACACAAGACCAAAAAATGTGCATTTGGTCATTTGGTACATACTAAGGTTCATAAAGCTTCAACGTCTAATTAGATTAAGTGACACCACCTGTGTGTGTGTCGGCTCGTTAAGAATTGGGCAGTCGATTGTTGATGTATCACCCCATTATTACCTTGTTATAACTGAGCTGTAATATAACCTGCTATAAAATGCTAAGATGCAATACAACATGTTTCATAAATGATAGAAAAAAGAAAAAAAAAACAGCAAACAAAACAAATATTTGAAAACAAATTAAATAAAAGCCACAGCATATTGAGATTTGAACATTTCTAACTTAAACTGCACCAATTTTCACCAAGATTGCCTCATTTATCTACAACCAAAATTAAGATGTCAGAATAGAAAAAGATTATTATACACATTACACTCCACTACTCTGGGTAAAGGAAAGATACAATAAAAGCTTCCAGGTAAAGGCAAGTTAGAGTAGATCATGTTGAGCCATGGCTGTGTTTTCCCATAAAAGCGAACCCAGTGAAAGGGAACAAACAGTTCTGAGAGAAGTAATAGAGGTATGAAGGTTGCCTGCTCCACAGATGATCCAAGACGAGTCAGTGAAGTGCGGTGATGAAATGAGGAATAAACCTGCACTTTTGCAATATGCCTTAGGGGAGGACAGACCATCCCTTAAACACAAAGCATATCAGCGCTACAGGCTAAAGAACTTCAATACTGGCCCTTGCTCTATCCTTTTTCAAGTGCAACGATGTATTATAGTAAATGAGAGGGAGCTACTTATTTTCAGTCAAGGCCAGCAGCAGGTTGACAGCTTGCACATATTTACAGTAGACAGCATGCAACCTGCGTGCCATGACAGCAAATAGGTAAGGTGAGGATTGACTAACCTGAGATATCTTGATGAAAGTAGCTGGCACCCTCTGAAACATGAATACCATTAGCTGTTGCTTTTTTCATTCTGGCAACTCTCCCCCTTTATTCCATGAATATCATGAAGTGCTATAGTAAAAGAAAAAAATCAATATGTGATAAGTCACATTGCTGTTTCTCTCTCCAATCCTCCCTCTTTCCAATCCAGCCTCCCTACATGTTCTCAGAAGAGGAGTTTAAGATTAAAAACATGAAATGATGAACCCTGAACTGAAAACAAACTAATTTTTACAATATAATTGAACTTATTCAATTAAAACCCAAGCGTTTTATTGTTTTGTTTTTGTGTGTATGTGCTTTTAATCAAAACATTCCCAACACCAGCCTGCTTATGGGCCGAACCCTTAAAGCTATAATTGGTCCCTTGGCAGTGCTCTAGCCTTTCACAATATTTTTTATGACAGTCACATGGATGTGAGAGCTGCTGTTTTTTATTTATTTATTTTGAAAACAGTCACATGGATCTGAGAGCTGCTGTTTTATTTTATTTTATTTTTTTATTTTTTTTGAAAAAAAAAAAGAAAAAAAAGAAAAAAAGAAACTGGCAATATCACTCTGAGCCGGGAGATTATGGTCCACATTCAGGTGGGCCACCAGCACACTGATCATCAGTCACAATGTCAGCACACACCAGATTAGTCAAGTTGTTTGCTGTGCTTCACACAGAATGCTGCTGACACATCTCTCCACCGTGACATTAACTTTCATACAGAATCAAGTGACACTGCCTCATGAATCAAATATTTACCTGCACGGCTGAAATGAGGTAGAAATGTAAATGGGGAGCGAGGATAGCATCTTTATTCTAAACACAAATATTTGATGACTAGATTCTAAAAGGGGAACCACAGAAACAGATGTTTGCTAAAACACAGACTGGATGTAGATGTCCACTCTTCATCCCTAGAAATTCAAGCGAGGGACCCGCTCTGTGCAGCAGGTGTGGTGTATAAATATGAATACAGATGTTCAGAATGGCTAGCTGTTGAGTGTGCATTAATGATAAACTATTTCATTTCATCTCAACCAGCCTCTCTTCATGCTGTTATCAGAATGCAGCTCAGACAGGAGTCTGATGGAATCGGAGTCTGACAATATTAGAATCCAAGAATATGATACTTAGGTTATTGATTTTGTGAGTCTTGCGGTTTGGGTGGGTATCTAGAAAACGTGAATATGAGGAAGATAGAAATCTTTATGACGGCACTTAAAGGGAGGATTAAGAGAGTTAGCAGATGAATGTTAATGGAGTGCTTTATCATTATTGATGATGTGGAAATCTTTTGGTTCTGTTTTGATATGAAAATCACAGCATGCTGGGAAACCAGGTCTGAAAACTCCATCATTAGAGAAGCGTGTTGCATATATAATTTCACTGACTTGTCTAATGACCACTGATATA